CGGGTTACCACCCGGAGAGTAATGGGCAGGTGGAACGCGTGAACCAGGATGTGGGGAGGTTTCTTAGAACATACTGCCAGGATCGGCCGGGAGGAGTGGGCAAGGTACGTTCCCTGGCCGAAATGGCCCAGAATTCCCTACGCCATTCCTCCACTAACCTAACCCCTTTTCAATGTGTGTTAGGTTACCAGCCGGTTCTGGCACCTTGGCAGCAGAGCCAGATCGAGGCTCCTGCGGTGGATGAGTGGGCGCGGCGCTCGGAGGAGACATGGAACGCTGCACACGTCCACCTGCAGCGGGCCCTCCGTCGTCATAAGGCGAGCGCCGATCTCCACCGCAGTGAGGGACCAGTGTACGCACCTGGTGATCGAGTCTGGCTCTCTACCAGAAACCTGCCCCTCCGCCTGCCCTGTCGGAAACTGGGTCGGCGGTTTTGTAGGGCCATTTAAAGTCCTGAGAAGGTTGAACGAGGTGTGTTACAAATTACAACTACCTGTTGAATATAAAAGTATTAACCCCTCGTTCCATGTGTCTCTTCTCAGGCCGGTGGTAGCTGGCCCACTCCAAGAAAGTGAGATCAGGGAGACTCCTCCGCCCCCATTGGACATCGAGGGGGCACCGGCGTACTCCGTGCGGTCCATCTTGGATTCGAGACGTCGGATGGGGGGTCTCCAATATCTAGTGGAGTGGGAGGGGTACGGTCCGGAGGAACGGTGCTGGGTGCCGAGGAGAGACATTTTGGACCCGTCTCTCCTGACGGAATTCCATCGTGGGCACCCGACGCACCCTGCTCCGCGTCCTCCTGGTCGTCCCCGAGGCCGAAGTCGGCGCACGTCTGGAGCCGCGCGTCAAGGGGGGGGGGGTACTGTCACGGTTTCGGCCGAGGCTGCCTCTCTTCCTTGCTCGGGCAGGCTTCAGCGTTCGTCGTCTCCGGAATACTAGCTGCCACCGTTGCATGTTTCTATGTTCGTTTGCTTTTGTCTGTTTGTTGTGACACCTGTTATCGTTTAGTGTAATTAGTGTCCTATAAGTTCTCGTTGTGTTTGTCTAGTGTTGTGTGTGATTGCTTTATTTCTGTCGTGCGTTGCTGGACGTGTATACTATATCGCTCGGTTGAGCTATTCTCCACTGTGTTGGAGCGTTTGACGCACCTGTGTAGTGCGCCCGTTTTGTTTTGTCGCCTACGTGCGGAGTTTCGCCTTCGGGCAAGTTTGTTCATTTTCCCTTGTGGATTTTCACTAAAGTCTTTTGGACTGTACTTCGGTGTCCTGCGCTTGATTCCACCACTACACCCACCTACAGCATCACTGACACCCAGGTGTCTTTTATACAGGTAATGAGCTGAGATTAGGAGCACACACTTAAAGGGAGTGCTCCTAATCTCAGTTTGTTACCTGTATAAAAGACACCTGTCCACAGAAGCGATCAATCAATCAGATTCCAAACTCTCCACCATGGCCAAGACCAAAGAGCCCTCCAAGGATGTCAGGGACAAGATTGTAGATCTACACAAGGCTGGAATGGGCTACAAGACCATCGCCAAGCAGCTTGGTGAGAAGGTGACAACAGTTGGTGCAATTATTCGCAAATGGAAGAAACACAAAATAACTGTCAATCTCCCTCGGCCTGGGGCTCCATGCAAGATCTCACTTCGTGGAGTTGCAATGATCAAGAGAACGGTGAGGAATCAGCCCAGAACTACACGGGAGGATCTTGTCAATGATCTCAAGGCAGCTGGGACCATAGTCACCAAGAAAACAATTGGTAACACACTACGCCATGAAGGACTGAAATCCTGCAGCGCCTGCAAGGTCCCCTGCTCAAGAAAGCACATATACAGGGCCGTCTGAAGTTTGTCAATGAACATCTGAATGATTCAGAGGAGAACTGGGTGAAATTGTTGTGGTCAGATGAGACCAAAATCGAGCTCTTTGGCGTCAACTCAACTCGCCGTGTTTGGAGGAGGAGGAATGCTGCCTATGACCCCAAGAACACCATCCCCGCCGTCAAACATGGAGGTGGAAACATTATGCTTTGGGAGTGTTTTTCTGCTAAGGGGACAGGACAACTTCACCGCATCAAAGGGATGATGGACGGGGCCATGTACCATCAAATCTTGGGTGAGAACCTCCTTCCCTCAGTCAGGGCATTGAAAATGGGTCGTGGATGGGTATTCCAGCATGACAATGACCCAAAACACACAGCCAAGGCAACAAAGGAGTTGCTCAAGAAGAAGCACATTAAGGTCATGGAGTGGCCTAGCCAGTCTCCAGACCTTAATCACATAGAAAATCTGTGGAGGGAGCTGAATGTTCGAGTTGCCAAACGTCAGCCTCGAAACCTTAATGACTTGGAGAAGATCTGCAAAGAGGAGTGGAACAAAATCCCTCCTGAGATGTGTGCAAACCTGGTGGCCAACTACAAGAAACGTCTGACCTCTGTGATTGCCAACAAGGGTTTTGCCACCAAGTACTAAGTCATGTTTTGCAGAGGGGTCAAATACTTATTTCCCTCATTAAAATGCAAATCAATTTATAACATTTTTGACATGCGTTTTTCTGGATTTCTTTTGTCAAATAAACCTACCATAAAAATGATAGACTGATCATGTCTTTGTCAGTGGGCAAACATACAAAATCAGCAGGGGATCAAATACTTTCTTCCCTCACTGTATTGCCTGTTATAAATATGGCTGATTCAGTCTTAGTACTGAATGAGCTGAAAATACCTGAGTCAGTAAAAAAGAGATGAACTTGGTTGCGGTGCGTGTGCGCGATGACGTCAGGTCGTAGTACATTCTTTATGTGATTTCAATAGCATCGACTGTTCTGAGTTTTTAATAATATGTTTTTATCAATTACATTTAGACTAGTAATGTCCTTTTTTATGACAAGGCCTATTTACAATCTATCTAGCACCCAAACTGTATTTTGCCCATTTTTGCATTGGTCTCAATCTTATCTAAAAACATGCAGAATTCCTGGGCACTGGCACATTTAATTCCCAGTGTGTCCCATGGCCATGCCAATGTCAAAAGTGAGTCTGGAGTGGAATGTGTTAGTGTGACCACTGCACAAGGAGTATTGGCAGGCCATTGAAAGTTCAGACCCAACCTCATAATTTACTCTCCATTAGCTACAAACTGAGACAGAGTCCTCCTCACGTTTCTGGAGAGTAGAGAGGAGAGGGACTCACAAATAAGTGGGTCATCATCAGATACAAGGGGAACGGGCCCGGCTTGGGAAACAGAATAGGCACATGTAGCCATCTGGGAGAATCGGTCCCATAGAAGAAAAACAAGTTGACCTTTGCAGAAAAGAAAGGGAGGAGGGAAAAGTAAAAGGAACAACACCTTAGATTCCGATTGCCGCCAATTCCCTGTGATGGTGCCATGGCACACGTGACTGTCACAGTCCAAATCCCCTATACCCCTTTATCCATTAGTGGTAAGTACTGAGGGGCACTCAAAGCTTTTTTATTCAGGGTAGGGGCAGGGCATAAAGGAATTCTTTGTCAGGAACTAAGACAGGAATGCAAGAGAATGGGGAGGCAAGGAGACAAGGAGACAAGGAGATAAGGAATCGGTACAGATGATGGAGAGATATGACAATGGAAAGATGATTAACAACTGAAGGACAGCAGATTCTACACTAACTCAATTCATGTATATACTGTATTTCATTGCACAGTATCTGCACGGTAGGGTACAATGAATCCCAGCTAACCATTCTTAACTTTTGTTCTAGACTGTAGGCTACCTTTTAAGATACCCTCCTCATGTTTTTATATGAAGAATATTTCACAAATGCATGCCTCAAGTTTCCCCTTGTTAACACACACACACCCCAATTTATACTTTGTATAGTCTAAAGGGTCATACTGTACTCTCCCCCTTTTCCGTTGTATGTATAATGTCCTACTATGACATTCCCTGTCATCTACATTCATCCCGATCTCCACATGTTGTTGAAACACCATCGCTCATTATCATATTTTACACAGTTGTCTGCTCTGTCCTGACTCAACCAGCCTCAGGTACTGTATCAATTTCCATGACCTTGGTAGGAAGCTATCTCTGCAGGGGAATCTCAGTATAACTGTACTGCCATTGTTCCTAACGGATCTTCACATGCTTTACTGTGGTCGTTTTTAGTTACCCCACCCTCTCTTAGTCAACCTGTTACAGTAAAACTTCCCTGGGCACTCTCTAAGATGAGAGAGCTCCCTTTTGAGGGGATTAAAAATGCCCCTCTTGGCATCCTTTACCTGCTACACTGGCTTCAAATGCTGTATTTGGCTTGTTTTTGGTTGGACAGAATATACAGTATCTTGATCAGTTTATTTAAAATTATATACATTGATCTTAAACTCTGATTGACCCCAGGTCAGGAAAGTACACCTTTTTAGATGAATCCCAGGGCACCACTAATTGCAAATCAGTTAGTTGGCTTTGGCTTGTTCAGCTCAAACCTCAGCCACACTGAAAGATATAAAGCTTCAGGTAACCTTATAATCCTCTGTGGTGAAGCACTTTTCTTTGAGAAACAGAGGCAAGGGTGTGTGTGAGAGAGTTAGAAGAAGGGAAAAGGAAGAGGGGAGACCCCCCCCCCCCAGCTGCAAAGAGAGACCAGAAGCTAGCGGCCCCTAGCTAGTGGCCCCTCATTACCTATGGGTAAATCTGTGGCCCCCCGGAAAGAAGACACCACTCGACATTTACCGGCAGCCATCTGAGAGTACAGGAAAGCAGAAAGCCAAAACATGCATTGGCTAAGCTAAGCCTCCCCACCTCCCCTCCACCCTTACCCACCTACAGTACACATCACAATACAAGCAGTATACTGAGGGGGACAGGTAAATATCTCAGCGGGGGGAAACAGAGGCCGCCTTCCTGACATATGCGTCACACAGCGGTAGGTGCCCCCTCTATATAGGTTACCATTGCAGTCCCTTGTGGTTGTTTGGTTCTGCTGCTGCTGACTACTGGATGTGTTTCATGGCAGAGCAACAAACAAACAGAGAAACAGGACAACAGAGAGACAGAGATTCATTCCTCCATCATGCAAGTCCTTTCCAGTCTGGCGTTGGTTCTGAAGAACATTTGGACACTCTCCTTCCTCCGGGACCTTCTGTGTGAATTTGTGGGCACTGCCCTCTTCCTCTTCGCCAGTCTGGCCTCGGTGGTGCTACGGCCCCAGCTTCCAGCCTGGGATGGTAGCCTCTCCAGTCCCACCAGTGATCATCATCTCCATGCCTTGTCCTTCGAGTCAGACCCATCCTCTCTCTCGGACACCCAGCCCCTCTCCGAGTGCCACCCTGACCCCCTGCATGTGGCCCTGGCGTTCGGGGCCTCTGTGGCTGTGGTATCTGTGTGCCTGGGTCCTGCTACCTCTGGAGGAGGGGTCCACCTGAACCCGGCTGTGACCCTGGCTCTGGCTGCAGGACTGAGGGTGAGCCCCTGGAGAGCTGTCCTCTACGTGGGGGCACAGCTCCTCGGTGCACTCTGTGCCTGTGCCCTCCTCATGGGAATGGTGCCTGCCCCACTCAGAGGGCATTTGGGGCTCAACGAGGTGAGTCACATCTGATTCATTTTTATTTGATTCTAGGTTGTAGTGAAGTATTGTTTTTCTGTAGTATTATAGCTTCCGAAAATACATTATTAGAAATGTTTTGCCAAAATCTTCTTTGTATTTTTGTATTTTTGCTTAATTGATTATGGGTGTTTATGGGTTATGGGTGTTATAAACATTATCTGTAAAATGTTTCTTTTTCCAGGTAGCCTTGGGTGTCCACCCATGCCAAGCCTTCTCAGTGGAGACAGCCATCACCTTTCAGCTGGTAGTCTGTGTCCTCGCTACGTCACGACCCAAATCAGCCTTCCACCTCCTGGGTCCTGTAGTGGTCGGCTTGTCTGTCACTTTGGGAAATCTAGTAGCGGTAAGGAAGATGACAGATCCTATTTGTGTTAGTTTAAATTCTGTCTGGCCACAATAGAGTTGCTATGGGTAATTTGATGGATTTTGTCAATTAAAACATTTTGTAGATCTTTACATTTGTCTTATCTTTTGATTTCATGCCCCCCCTTCTCTCTTATTCTCCCTCTCTCTCTCTTTACCTTCTTCCTCTGACCAGATTGGGTACACTGGCTGTGGGATGAATCCTGCTAGGTCTTTTGGTCCAGCTGTGGTCACTTTAAAATTTCATAACCATTGGGTGAGTCTGGCCAAGTTGACTATCTCTCATTGTGCTCCATGAAAATTACAAAAGTATATTGACGCTATTTACTAACATCACACCATAGTGCACACATACAAAACTACTTACAAAAAAAGTATCTCTCTCCTCTGCAGGTGTATTGGGTGGGGCCGTGTGTGGGGGCGTTACTTGCTGGCCTACTACATGACCTGGTGCTCCACCCACGATGGGGTTGCCCTGGCGACTGGTTGGCTGAGTTTAAGGAACTGTTTCCCAAGGATCCACTTAAACAGCCCACCACCTTGGAACACACAGTGGAGTAGAGATGGAGGCAGTTCTCTTACCATTCTTCGACCATTGACCAAAGGTGACCACACACCATTCTCTGATATCTGACCACTTGCCACTGGTGTACACAAGTGGCCATGCTAGCTGGGTCCATCGTTGAGTAACACGGAGTGAAGAAACTCAAAATGTGTACACATCTACAGTATTCATGCACATCTACATTGTAGCTATGATAATATACTCTGCTGTATTCTCTGGGAGACTGCGCTCTCCTCTCTTTCCCTGAATGTACTGGCTAGTTTCCTTTCTGGCTAGTTCTGCGATATTTCAGAACTGAACAAAGCACTAATCCACCATCTCAGGTTCTTCACAATCATGTTGTTTGTCAGCTTGACTTCATTTTGTGCATCTTTGTACCTCTCTGAGGTGTCGAACCATCTGTAGATGCAGACAATTTATATTCAGACCAAAGCCTAGATATTTGTATGAGTGTCCAAGGTGATTTCATTCAGGTCAGTTAAAGTACGGGTACAGTTCTTCAACAAGCTGTGTAATCATTCACATTATGGGACAGATCACTATGATATGTGTTTTTATATAACACTATCATGGGGTTTGTCCTGTTATACATATTTCAATGACAGCTGTATGACTCAGTAAAATGTTCTTTATTATAGAATTAATTCTACATTTGTTTTTCACTAAATTGAAACAGAACATTATGTTTTTCATGTCCTCTGTGCAAGAGTTTATTAAAGCTGAAAACACCAAACTTATGAGTCGTCCTACCGTGTGTACAGGGGAGGGGAGTGTAAAGTGAGTGTGAAGCTACAGGAGTCATTTTGTGTCAGGTCCACTTACATTTTCCATCTGTTTCCATGAATTGTCATGCCCTGGGGAGGACTCATCTGGGAAGGAAGGGGTTGGGTGTAATCTCTCAAACCCAGCAACCCCGCCCTGTGTGTGTCTCTGTCTGTCTCTCTCCCTCTCTCTCTCTCTTTCTCTCTCCCAACTGAGAGAAAAAAAATTGAAAAAATAGTATTTGGATTCACATCCCGATAGTGTTATACCTTGGTTATGCACACTCTTGAATACTTAATACAATGTTTTTGTTTTTTTCATTGATGTACTATGACAGACATTGTTGACAAGTTAATATAACACTATAAATATATGTGTGTGAGAGCTGCAGTTCTGTTCTGACAGATTCACATCTCTTCACTTCATTGCACAAAATATTCTCTGCAAAGTCCTATCTGCAGGAAACAGTTAGAGATACCATATTTGGTGGCATACACTCCACTCACCACAATGCTATGAGAGCTGCAAAGAAATTTCGCTTAGCAAGAAAAACATCCTTCAACAACAATGCACTATCGATGACAGCCCTCTCGACGTTACTGTGTAAGTTCCCTGCCTTGCGGAAACAACTGAAGATGATAAGAATTACTCACATCGGAAGAACACATTTGGCAAGAAATTTGGATTACTGTTTCACTTGCAGTGAGGGAGCCTTCCTTTAGGTCAGGGAGTTGACGTAGGGACAAAAGCGGTATAGCTGAAAAAGATGGAGGAACACCGGATTCATATATCAATACAAATGATGGGTCTCATGCTATTTGCTCTCCCACATTACTCTGACACCTTAAATCTAAACCTGGTTAACTTCACGGAGTTCTCTGGCCCTGAGGGAAGCTTCTTTGGCTTCTCTGCAGATTTCTATCAGTTTAGCAACAACACGTGAGTATTGCAATGTACTATTTGGTAAGTTTAGGCTTTTCTTCTTTCAGTAGGGTTTGCACAGTTTTTATGGTATCTGTAAAACTACACAAATTAGTGGATTTGGCTATTTCAGCCACACCCGTTGCTGACAGGTGTATAAAATCGAGCACACAGCCTTGCAGTCTCCATAGAGAAACATTGGCAGTAGAATGGCCTAACTGAAAAGCTCAGTGACTTTAAAAGTGGCACTGTCATAGGATGCCACCTATCCAACAAGTCAGTTTGTCAAACTTCTGCCCTCCTAGAGCTGCCCCGGTCAACTGTAAGAACAGTTATTGTGAAGTGGAAACATCTAGGAGCAACAACGTCTCAGCCGCAAAGTGCTAGACTACACAAGCTCACAGAACGGAACCAGCACGTAAAAATTGTCTGTCTGCAGTTGCAACACTCACTTCCGAGTTCCAAACTGCCTCTAGAAGCAATGTCAGAACAAGAACTGTTCGTCGGGAGCTTCATCAAATGGGTTTCCACGGCCGACCAGCCGCACACAAGCCTAAGATCACAATGAGGAATGCCAAGCATCTGCTGGAGTGGTGTAAAGCTCGCTGCCATTGGACTCTGGAGCAGTGGAAACGCGTTCTCTGGAGTGATGAATCACGCTTCACCATCTGGCAGTCCGACAGACTAATCTGGGTTTGGCGGATGCCAGTAGAATACTACCTGCCCCAATGCATTGTGCCAACTGTAAAGTTTGGTGGATGAGGAATAATGGTCTGGGGCTGTTTTTCATGGTTTGGGTTAGGCCCCTTAGTTCCAGTGAAGGGAAATCTTCATGCTACAGCATACAATGACATTCTAGATGATTCTGTGCTTCCAACTTTGTGGCAACAGTTTGGGGAAGGCCCTTTCCTGTTTCAGCATGACAATGCCCCCCTTGCACTAAGCGAAGTCCATACAGAAATGGTTTGTCAAGATCGGTGTTGAAGAACTTGACTGGCCTGCACAAAGACCTGACCTCAATCCCATAGAACACCTTTGGGATGAATTGGAACGCCGACTGCGAGCATGCCTAATCACCCAACAACAGTGCCCAACCTCACTAACGTTCTTGTGGATGAATGGAAGCAAGTCCCCGCAGCAGTGTTCCAACATCTAGTGGAAAGCTTTCCCAGAAGAGTGGAGGCTGTTATAGCAGCAAAGGGGGGACCAACTCCATATTAACCTCTTAAGGATCGGACCCTATACATTACTTTCACTCATCTAGATGGCCGGGCGGGGTGGGTGTGGAGCCAGAGACAGCAGGGGTTCAAAATGTAGAACTCAGTTCCTACATTTGAATATAAAAATTGATTTAATCAAACAAAACTGTGCTACATTTTATCTCTGGGTCCCTTAGGATGACAAATCAGAGCAAGATTACTGAATCTAAGTACATTATTTACCTTCAGAGGTGAATGTATCAAACAGTTGCCATGATACGTTTTTTTGTTGTTGTGCACTCTCCTCAAACAATAGAATGGTATTTTTTCACTATAATAGCTACTGTAAATTGGACAGTGCAGTTATATTAACAATAATTTAAGCATTCTGCCCATATAAGACATGTCTATGTCCTGGAAAGTTTGCTGTTACTTACAACAGTCATGATAATCACATTAGCGCACGTTAGCTCAACCGTCCTGTATACGGGACACCAATCCCGTAGAGGTTAATGCCCATGATTTTGGAATGAGATTTTGATGAGTAGCTGTCCACATACTTTGGGTCATGTAGTGTATATGCTTGGATTACTCTTATATTAAATTGGGCAAGGTACAGTTGAAGTCGGATGTTTACATACACCTTAGCCAAATACATTTAAACTCAGTTTTTCACAATTGCTGACATTTAATCCTAGTAAAAATTCACTGTCTTAGGTCAGTTAGGATCAATACTTTATTTTACGAATGTGAAATGTCAGAATAATAGTAGAGAGATTTATTTAAGCTTTTATTTCTTTCATCACATTCCCAGTGGGTCAGAAGTTTACATACACTCAATTAGTATTTGGTAGCATTGCCTTTAAATTGTATAACTTGGGTCAAATGTTTCGGGAAGCCTTCCACAAGCTTCCCACAATAAGTTGGGTGAATTCAGGCCCGTTCCTCCTGACAGAGCTGGTGTAACTGAGTCAGGTTTGTAGGCCTCCTTGCTCGCACACGCTTTTTCAGTTCTGCCCACAAATGTTCTATTGGATTGAGGTCAGGGCTTTGTGATGGCCACTCCAATACCTTGACTGTGTTGTCCTTAAGCCATTTTGCCACAACTTTGGAAGTATGCTTGGGGTCATTGTCCATTTGGAAGACCCATTTGCGACCAAGCTTTAACATCCTGACTGATGTCTTGAGATGTTGCTTCAATATATCCACATAATTTTCCTTCCTCATGATGCCATCTATTTTGTGAAGTGCACCAGTCCCTCCTGCAGCAAAGCATACCCACAGCATGATGCTGCCACCCCGGTGCTTCACGGTTGGGATGGTGTTCTTCGGCTTGCAAGCGACCCCCTTTTTCCTCCAAACATAACGATGGTCATTATGGCCAAACAGTTATATTTTTGTTTCTTCAGACCAGAGGACATTTCTCCCAAAAGTACGGTCTTTGTCCCCATGTGCAGTTGCAAACCGTAGTCTGGCTTTTTTATGGCGGTTTTGGAGCAGTGGCTTCTTCCTTGCTGAGCGGCCTATCAGGTTATGTTGATACAGGACTCGTCTTACTGTGGATATACAGTGGGGAGAACAAGTATTTGATACACTGCCGATTTTGCAGGGTTTCCTACTTACAAAGCATGTAGATGTCTGTACTTTTTATCATATGTACACTTCAACAAAAATCCAGAAAATTCCATTGTATGAATTTTAAGTAATTAATTTGCATTTTATTGCATGACATAAGTATTTGATCACCTACCAACCAGTAAGAATTCCGGCTCTCACAGACCTGTTCGTTTTTCTTTAAGAAGCCCTCCTGTTCTCCACTCATTACCTGTATTAACTGCACCTGTTTGAACTCATTACCTGTATAAAAGACACCTGTCCACACACTCAATCAAACAGACTCCAACCTCTCCACAATGGCCAAGACCAGAGAGCTGTGTAAGGACATCAGGGATAAAATTGTAGACCTGCACAAGGCTGGGATGGGCTACAGGACAATAGGCAAGCAGCTTGGTGAGAAGGCAACAACTCTTGGCGCAATTATTAGAAAATGGAAGAAGTTCAAGATGACGGTCAATCACCCTCGGTCTGGGGCTCCATGCAAGATCTCACCTCGTGGGGAATCAATGATCATGAGGAAGGTGAGGGATCAGCCCAGAACTACACGGCAGGACCTGGTCAAAGAGCTGAAGAGAGCTGGGACCACAGTCTCAAAGAAAACCATTAGTAACACACTACGCCGTCATGGATTAAAATCCTGCAGCGCACGCAAGGTCCCCCTGCTCAAGCCAGCGCATGTCCAGGCCCGTCTGAAGTTTGCCAATGACCATCTGGATGATCCAGAGGAGGAATGGGAGAATGTCATGTGGTCTGATGAGACAAAAATATAGCTTTTTGGTCTAAACTCCACTCGCCGTGTTTGGAGGAAGAAGAAGGATGAGTACAACCCCAAGAACACCATCCCAACCGTGAAGCATGGAGGTGGAAACATCATTCTTTGGGGATGCTTTTCTGCAAAGCGGACAGGACGACTGCACCGTATTGAGGGGAGGATGGATGGGGCCATGTATCGCAAGATCTTGGCCAACAACCTCCTTCCCTCAGTAAGAGCATTGAAGATGGGTCGTGGCTGGGTCTTCCAGCATGACAACGACCCGAAACACACAGCCAGGGCAACTAAGGAGTGGCTCTGTAAGAAGCATCTCAAGGTCCTGGAGTGGCCTAGCCAGTCTCCAGACCTGAACCCAATAGAAAATCTTTGGAGGGAGCTGAAAGTCCGTATTGCCCAGCAACAGCCCCGAAACCTGAAGGATCTGGAGAAGGTCTGTATGGAGGAGTGGGCCAAAATCCCTGCTTCAGTGTGTGCAAACCTGGTCAAGACCTACAGGAAACGTATGATCTCTGTAATTGCAAACAAAGGTTTCTGTACCAAATATTAAGTTCTGCTTTTCTGATGTATCAAATACTTATGTCATGCAATAAAATGCAAATTAATTACTTAAAAATCATACAATGTGATTTTCTGGATTTTTGTTTTAGATTCCGTCTCTCGCAGTTGAAGTGTATCTATGATAAAAAATGACAGACCTCTACATGCTTTGTAAGTAGGAAAACCTGCAAAATCTGCAGTGTATCAAATACTTGTTCTCCCCACTGTAGATACTTTTGTGCCTGTTTTCTCCAGCATCTTCACAAGGTCCTTTGCTGTTGTTCTGGGATTGATTTGCACTTTCCGCACAAAAGTATGTTAATCTCTTGGAGACAGAACGCGTCTCCTTCCTAAGCGGTATGACGGCTGCGTGGTCCCATGGTGTTTATACTTGCAAACTATTGTTTGTACAGATGAACGTGGTACCTCCAGGCGTTTGCAAATTGCTCCCAAGGATGAACCAGACTTGTGGAAGTCTACAATGTTTTTCTGAGGTCTTGGCTGATTTCTTTTGATTTTCCCATGATGTCAAGCAAAGAGGCACTGAGTTTGAAGGTAGGCCTTGAAATACATCCACAGGTACACCTCCAATTGACTCAAATGATGTCAATTAGCCTATCAGAAGCTTCTAAAGCCATGACATCATTTTCTGGAATTTTCCAAACTGTTTAAAGGCACAGTCACCTTATTGTATGTAAACTTCTGACCCACTGGAATTGTGATACAGTGAATTATAAGTGAAATAATCTGTCTGTAAACAATTGTTGGAAAAATTGCTTGTGTCATGCACAAAGTAGATGTCCTTACCGACTTGCCAAAACTATAGTTTGTTAACAAGAAATGTGTGGAGTGGTTGAAAAACAAGTTTTAATGACTCCAACCTAAGTGTATGTAAACTTCCGACTTCAACTGTATGTGGAGTTTGAATGGCTTTTCATCACATGCTTGTCTGAAATCCCAGAGGTTATTTTAACCCTAGTTTTTTCTGTCCCACAGCATCAGTGTTGTGGTTGGGGCCCCCAGAGCCAACACCAGTCAGCCAGGAGTCACTGAGGCGGGGGCTGTGTATCTCTGTCCCTGGGCACAGACAGGAGGGGCCTGTACTACCATGACCTTTGACACAAAAGGTAAACCTTTACGTATCAACAGTCCTATTCATGCATTTCTCTATTTTTTACTGATGCTGTGAACATATTAGCATACTGTAGATTAGTAAGTACAGTACCAGTCAAAAGTTTGGACACACCTACTCATTCAAGGGTTTTTCTTTATTTGTACTATTTTCTACATTGTATAATAATCGTGAAGACATCAAAACTATGAAATAACACATATGGAATCATGTAGTAACCAAAAAAGTGTTAAACAAATCATAATATATTTCATATTTGAGATTCTTCAAAGTAGCCACCCTTTGCCTTGATGACAGCTTTGTAGACTCTTGGCATTCTCTCAAACAGCTTCACCTGGAATTATTTTCCAACAGTCTTTAAGTTGTTCCCACATATGCTGAGCACTTGTTGGCTGCTTTTCCTTCACGCTGCGGTCCAACTCATCCCAAACCATCTCAATTGGGATGAGGTCGGATGATTGTGGAGGCCAGGTCATCTGATGCAGCACTCCATCACTCTCCTTCTTGGTCAAATAGCCCTTGTACAGCCTGGAGGTGTGATGGGTCATCGTCCTGTTGAAAAACAAATGATAGTCCCACTAAGCGCAAACCAGATGGGATGGCTTATCGCTGCAGAATGCTGTGGTAGCCATGCTGGCTAAGTGTGCGTTGAATTCTAAATAAATCACCAGTGTCACCAGCAAAGCAACCCCACACCATCACACCTCCTCCATGCTTCACGGTGGGAACCACACATGCAGAGATCATCCGTTCACCTACTCTGCATCTCACAAAGACACGGCGGTTGGAACCAAAAATCTCAAATATGGACTCATCAGACAAAAGGACAGATTTACACCGGTCTAATCTCCATTGCTCATGTTTCTTGGCCCAAGCAAATCTCTTCTTCTTATTGGTGTCTTTTAGTAGTGCTTTCTTTGCAGCAATTTGACCATGAAGGCCTGATTCACACAGTCTCCTCTGTACAGTTGATGTTGAGATGTGTCTGTTACTTTAACTCTGTGAAGCATTTATTTGGGCTGCAATCTGATGTGCAGTTAACTCTAATTAACTTAATCTCTTCAGCAGAGGTAACTCTGGGTCTTCCTTTCCTGTGGGGGTCCTCATGAGAGCCAGTTTCATCATAGCGCTTGATGGTTTTTGCGACTGCACTTGAAGAACTTAGAAAGTTCTTCATTTTTTCCAGCTTGACTGACCTTCTTGTCAAAGTAATGCTGGACTGTCATTTCTCTTTGTTTATTTGAGCTGTTCTTGCCATAATATGGACTTGGTCTTTTACCAAATAGGGCTATCTTCTGTATTCCACCCCTACCTAGTCACAACACAAGTGATTGGCTCAAACGCATTAAGAATGAAAGAAATTCCACAAAGTAATTTTTAACCATGCACACATGTTAATTGAAATGCATTCCAGGTGACTACCTCATGAAGCTGGTTGAGAGAAAGCCAAGAGTGTGCAAAGCTGTCATCAAGGCAAAGGGTGGCTACTTTGAAAAATCTCAAATATAAAATATATTTTGGTCACTTTTTTGGTTACTACATGATTCCATATGTGTTATTTCATAGTTTTGATGTCTTCACTATTATTCTAAAATGTATAAAATAGTACAAAAAGGTTGACAAACTGAGCTGTCTGATGTAAATACAGGTGATGAGGTTTATCCTCACCAGAACTTAGTGATAAGGTCCTCAAAGTCCCACCAGTGGTTTGGAGCTACTGTGCGATCCTCCGGAAACTACATTGTGGTGAGTTTTTCCAGCCATTGTGGCACAATACTCTTCCCACTCTCTCTGACTCTTTGAAACCAGTCACTCATTGTGCTGTGAGTCTGACGGCCGCTGTATACAGTCACTGTGCAGTATAGAATGCATCAGATATCGATCCTCTAAATCTTTTACACAACCCCTCTCCCTCCCTCGATATATTTTCTTTCCTCTCCCACTGTCATTCTCCCTCTATCATTATGTTTCTCCCAACCACCAACCTACTCCCTCTTTCTACCAATGTTATGTTTGTCTGCCTCTGCTCCTTCTTAATTTACATTCTCCACATCACTTTGTTTTACCCTTCTCTTGATCTCTATATCACTTTCCTTCTCCCACTCTTTCTCTTTCTCCCTCTCCTCCCTTCTCTCTCTCTCCCTCCCTCCCCCTGCGCCAGGCCTGTGCCCCCCTGTTCCACTGGAACGTGATAGACGTGGATGAACGTGACGAGGCCCAGAACACTCCAGTGGGTAACTGCCTAGTGTTGAACACACTGACGGGGAAAACGGTTGACTTCTCCCCCTGCAAAGAAGTCATGACGGAGAAGGTTTACAAAGCCCTGAAGTACAGTAAGAGATATTAGTCATGCCATTAGTACCTGTACAGTACAGTAAGAGGTTCCTCTGTTGTCCACTCAAAACTTAAAGGCTGCATTTATGCATTCAGCCCACTTTTGATCAGAATTAACGCAGCCAAACAAGCATCCAGTCAGAACTGTGGTGGTAATTTAGTATTTTTGTCACTGCTATGCCTCAAAACTACTAGGGTATTCCTTCTTAAAATAGCAGTTGACTTCATGTTCACAAGTTTGCCTGCTGGTCTTTCTTTCTACTCTGCGTGTTTTCATCTTTAATCCTAATCTTGATTTTCAGATAATGACAGACGATACTGTGAAGTGGGATTTAGCTCCGACATAACAAAGGTGCCCACACTCCAAACTTTTTCTTTTTGATTCATATAATGTTATACATTGCACAGTAATGTAGCAGAATAGATCAGTAATGGTTAGAGCCACATAGTTTATGATATTGTAAGGTAGTAATTACACCAACAGTGTTATGATACCATCTATAACAATAATTGGATTTGTTTCTTGCTGTACTATTCTAGGATGGAAGGCTCCTTATTGGTGCCCCTGGAGGCTACTACTTTCAAGGTAACATGTGCCATCTGGTGTTCAGAGTGTGTTAACAAAATTATTAGCCTGGTTAAACCAGATTGAACACTACACTGAGGTAAAACAGTGGTGAGTGTAGCGTTCAGTCTGGTTTAACCAGGCTACAACATGGTGGCTTCCATAATTGCATTCATCAACACTCCTAGGTAGAATGTGTACATTAATAGCCCTGTTGTTAGGATGTCTCCAGGAAGGTAATGGTTGATGATGACTGAGCATTATGAATTAACATATTACTAGTCTCGGGAAAATTCCAGACCTAGAGCAACAGCATGTCAGAACATTGTTAATGTGGGAGGCAACCCGTCTGCTTTATTTTACTAATATCACTGTGGAATATTATGAAATAAATATGTATAAACATCACTTAAGTGTATTCTCCAAATGCTGGTTGCGGTGCTTAACCTTTCTGTTGCAGGTCAGATCATCAGTGCAGGACTGCTTGACATTGTCAACAGTGCCAAGAGACAGAATGCCAAACCTTATGTGGCAGGACAAACCCATTCCCCTGAGACTGGTGGATACGATCGTTACCATGGTAAGAGGGTTACACTCAAGACTTGTGGTCTAAAGCAATTGTTTTCAAGCCTCTTCTCAGAGACGCCCAGATGTTTCACAATTTTGTTGTAGCCCTGAACTAGCAAACCAAATTCACCTAATCAAGGGCTTGATGATTAGTTGACAAGTTGAATCAGGTGTGCTACCCCGAGAAGATGTTTGAGAACCACTGGCCTAAAATATTCAGTCCAATGATGTTCAGAGACATTCTCATTAGTTCAATAAACCAGAAAGGTTGATGCGTTACACTGGTTCGCCAACAGGGTATTCTGTGGCCACTGGCGAGTTCACTGGAGACTCAATACCAGGTGAGAAAGTTTCTGTCAAAAGGGTCCACACAACCAGATAATTACTAGCCTGGTCCCAGTTTGTACTATCATTCCAACTCATTGTCATGCCAAGCATTTGTTCATGTTTGGCATGACATGGAATGGCAAGTGGTGGAATGTTAGCACATAGGCCCACAGACTTGTGCCCAGGCTAGAGAATAACTTCCTACACTTTATGTGCCTGGTAGTGATAGTGACAGCTGTACAAACCTTCAAACATTTGTCGGTAAGATACAAAAGGTTGAAACATTTCTCAATAATTAATTATTGTGTTTTAAATCCAGTATTTATTTTCTGTTTCAGATTATGTGGCTGGGGTGCCTAATGACCGCAACACAGCAGGAACAGTAAGGGCTCCCGATGGCGTTATGATAATTTACTTTTCATTTATTAGAGAGTGATCTAAGCTAATGTTTTGGTTTCTATCCAGGTCAAAATCTATAATGGAAATTCAATTGACTTTTTGGGAGTGAAACACACATTCTTAGGCTCTCAGGTGAGACTATACTTACATAACTTACATCATACTTTATTTTGATTGACTTGTTTACAGGATGAAGAAGTGATCACTATGTGACATCATGTCTATACAGATAGGCCTATGTGTTGATATCTGAGTGATGAGCGATGTAGTCCACTCAAAACCACATGCATCTTTCATCTTGCAGGTGGCCTCTTACTTTGGCCACAGCGTTGCAGTGACTGATATTAACAATGATGGGTAAGTAAGTCAGAACTCTCTTACTTGCTTTTTTTAGTCCTTGATCATTGAAGTATTAAACATGAATTAACCACCTGACAGCATCTAAGCCACTGGTCGCTAGTTTGCTGTCTTGAGGAACCATGAAAAAGAGCTCAAATGTCCAGCCGTTCTTGCTCTGTCTACTACAGACGAGATGACATCCTAATCGGGGCGCCCCTCTTCATGGAGCGTGTGTCAGGCCAGCAGTTACAGGAGGTGGGCCAGGTGAGTGAACACCTGATGAGCCCTGGGTGGTCGAAATGTTATCAAATAAATCTATCACATGGGAGCATAGTGTGCAGTCTCCATTCACCTTTTATTAACCATTTTGTTTATAACCAGCACCTGCTCCGAGACAATGGATGTGTGTAATCCTTTCCCAGGTGAGTGTGTACCTGCAGAGAGAGCGCTCCACCTTCCACTCCAAGCCAGACCAGAAGCTGACAGGTTCCCAGGTGTACGGACGCTTTGGCAGCACCATCGCCCCCCTCGGTGACCTGGACAAGGACGGTTTTAACGGTGAGGCTCTGATATACAGTAATTTGACTTTTAGTACATGTATCTGCCCTTCTACTATAGTAACTGCCTCAGGGGCAGCAGAATCGGAAGTATTTGCTTTTCTGGGTAACTTAACCAAGGAATATTATTAAATATCCTCCACAAAACACTTTCATCTCCTTTCAGAAACAATCTTTGATTTCATGATTCCCTCTTGAAATGCTCAATTTTCTAACGGTGGGGAATGGTTTTGTCATAGCAGTGTTTCGATACACTCTGTCCATGGATTACTCATCACTATAAAGCGTTTCTCTCTCTCTTCCCTCTCCCTCTCTCTCTCAGATGTTGCTGTGGGAGCCCCATCCTCAGGCATTGAAGGGAGGGTTTTCATCTACATGGGGACTAGCGATGGACTGTCTCCCCAGTATACCCAAGTCATTGAGAGTCCCTTCCAGTCCCTAGGCTCTCCAGCACAGTTTGGCTTCACCCTGAGAGGGGCCATTGACATTGATTCAAATGGCTACCCAGGTTAGTCTGAAAACTAACTCTTCGGAAACTGTGGGCTTGCTTACCTTGATTTAGAAAAGATGTGTGTTTGATTATATTTGGGTTATACTTGTGTTTAGACTTTAAGCGATTGATTCTAGCCCAAAAACAAGATTTGAGAAGTTATGGAACAACAAACCTTAGTCCGCCAACAATTCCCAACAATCTCCTCAACAATGTCCCTACCTCTCTTGTCAAGCCACAGTGACAATCCTGCCAAGACCACTTGGAGATGTCAAACTGTACGATCACTTGGAGGTCACTCTGCTCCATTACGACTCCACTATCAGCCTCTGACGCAGTTCAACGACAGCGGCAGCAAAGATTTCTGTTGTCCTTTTCGTTGTAGCTGACTACTACCCAAGGGCATATTTCCACTGCTTAACAACGTCCCCGTTCCTTTCAGTCCCAGTAAAAACGTCCTCTAATGTTTGTCTCCCGGAGGCGAAGGCAAAGTTTCACGGACAAACAAGAGAGAAACAGAAAGGTCACTCATCCAGTGGAGTGGCTGACATTTGTCCGGGGAGAGCACTAAATGGAGATACATTTGGTACCGTGGGGTCCCTTGGAGACTAGTGAGCTACTCTCAACACAGCAATGCTTTTTGATATGCAACACCTCTGGCTTATAAAGACACTCATGGCACTCTTTGTCTCTTGTCTCCCCAGTGAGGTCGTCACAGTTCAACTCTTTGAGACAAACTGGTCACTGTGAAAACGATTGCCTTTTTTTTCAGCTGACCTCTTTCCTTGAAAATACTTTTGTTTCTTAGGAGTCGCCGTGATATGAAAGCAGAGGTCCTGGCTGTTAGCAAAGGGAAATCAATCCCATGCACTATTTTTGTGACCCTTTCATGAGAAAGTGCTATCGATCATGTATATATATTTTTTTAAGCTGTTTCATGACCCTATATTTCTGATGTTTCAAGACTAGAAAAATAACAACTTGCAACTTGTTACTATGAATCTTTGTTGCCTCACAGATCTAATTGTTGGTGCTTGGGGAGTCAATAAGATTGCTGTGTACAGGTACAGTAGTGTGAGATAAACAAACTGTTTATATGTTACTTTAAATTAACTTGAGAAATGTTATCTATTGCAGGATTAACATTTGCATTCACAATGTACCTACATCGTCTATTCAGTGGTATGAATGTCTATGATTCTACAAATATTAGTATTCTACAATGTCTATTTTTTCTCTGTTTGTGTGGGGTTGAACCAGGGCTCAAGCCATGGTGATGGCCAAGACCCAACTCTCCCTCTACCCTGACTTCTTGAACCCAGATGTGAAGGAGTGTGAGCACCCCACCACCAACGAGCCTGTGGCCTGGTAAAGATTATTCTCACACCAGAGTATCATACCACTAGTGTGGGCATGTCACGTTCGTTGAATGACGGGTCAGACCAAGGCGCAGCGTGATATACGTACATGTTTATTAAACCAAATAAACACAACGACAAAACAACAAACTAAATGAAACGTGAAGTCCAAGGTAGCACACACAACATACCTTACACGAAACAAGATCCCACAACTAGACAGTGCCAATAGGCTGCCTAAGTATGGTCCCCAATCAGAGACAACGAGCGACAGCTACCTCTGATTGGGAACCACATCGGCCAACATAGATCTACACATAATAGATCAAAACATAGAATAAACACCACATAGAATATACACACCCTGACTCAACATATAAGAGTCCCCTGAGTCAGGGCGTGACAGTACCCCCCCCCCCCCCCCCCCCAAAGGTGCGGATTCCGACCGCGCAACCTTCACTTAACAGAGTAGGGGCCGGGTGGGCATTCCGACTCGGAGGCCGATCCGGCTCCGGGCGTGACGACCTCATACTCTCCCTGTTGCGCCCCTGGTCTGGTCTGGACCACGGCGCGCTGCTTCCCCTCTCCTTCCTCCCACGATACGCCAGGCCCTGTCTGGACCCTGGTTTGGGAGACCCCGAACCTGGAGAGGGGCTGACGTCATGGTCTGGACTGGAGCCGCTGACCGGAGCTGGACTGGGCACTGGTAGAGCGGACTACTCTGGCTCCGGAGTGGAGCCGCTGACCGGAGCTGGATCAGGCACCGGTGGAGCGGACTGCTCTGGCTCCGGAGTGGAGCCGCTAACCGGAGCAGGATCAGGCACCGGTGGAGCGGACTTCTCTGGTTCCGGAGTGGAACAGCTGACCGGAACTGGATCAGGCACCGGTGGAGAGGACTGCTCTGGTTCCGGTGTGGAGCAGCGGTGGAACGGGCACGGGCCGTGCCGGACTGGACAAACGCACAACTGGTCTGGTGCGAAGAGCAGGCACGGGCCGGACCGGACTCGGAACACGCACCACTGGCTTGGTGCGAGGGGCAGGAATGGGCCGGACTGGTGACGCGCAACACTGGCTTGGTGCGAGGAGCAGGAACAGGCCGGGCCGGACTGGCGACGCGCACCACTGACTTGGTGCGAGGAGCAGGAACAGGCCGGGCCGGACTGGCGACGCGCACCACTGGCTTGGTGCGAGGAGCAGGAACAGGCCGGGCCGGACTGGCAACGCACACCACTGGCTTGGTGCGAGGAGCAGGAACAGGCCGGACTGGCGACGCGCACCACTGGCTTGGTGCGAGGAGCAGGAACAGGCCGGACTGGCGACGCGCACCACTGGCTTGGTGCGAGGAGCAGGAACAGGCCGGGCCGGACTGGCGACGCGCACCACTGGCTTGATGCGAGGAGCAGGAACGGGCCGGGCCGGACTGGCGACGCGCACCACTGGCTTGGTGCGAGGAGCAGGAACGGGCCGGACTGGCGACATGCACCACTGGCTTTGTGCGAGGAGCAGTAACAGGCCGGGCCGGGCTGGCGAAGCGCACCACTGGCTTGGTGCGAGGAGCAGGAACGGGCTGGACCGAACTGTGAAGGCGGTCTGGAGGTCTGGAGCAGAGAGCTGGCACAACCCGTCCTGGCTGGCTGCCCACTTTCGCACGGCACGTGCGTGGTGCAAGCACAGGATGTACAGGACTGTGCCGGCGCACTGGCGACACAGTACGTAGCTCCGCATAATACGGAGCTTGCCCAGTCATACGCTTCCTTGCGTGAGTACGGGGAGTTGGCTCTGCTCTGACACTAGGCTCCGCCAACCACCCTGTGTGCCCCCCAAAATGGTTTTATTGGGGCTGCTTCTCGGGCTTCCTCCTTGACCGGCCTCCTCCGTGTTGCCGTTGCTCCTCTCCTTCCTGGGCATCTACCTTAGCCCATGGTCCTTTCCCCGCAAATATCTCCTCCCATGACCACAAATTGGCCACCTGTGACATGGCCATCCGCTCCGCCTGGGCACGCTGCTTGGTCCTCGTTTGGTGGGATCTTCTGTCACGTTCGTTGAATAACGGGTCAGACCAAGGCGCAGCGTGATATACGTACATGTTTATTAAACCAAATAAACACAACGACAAAACAACAAACTAAACGGAACGTGAAGTCCAAGGTGGCACACACAACATACCTTACACGGAACAAGATCCCACAACTAGACAGTGCCAATAGGCTGCCTAAGTATGGTCCCCAATCAGAGACAACGAGCGACAGCTGCCTCTGATTGGGAACCACACCGGCCAACATAGATCCACACATACTAGATCGACAACATAGAATACACAACAAAGAATATACACACCCTGACTCAACATATACGAGTCCCCTGAGTCAGGGCGTGACAGGGCATTAACCATAGCTGCGGGAAGTAGTTTGGGAGTGGGGGTGTTGCGTTGATTCTTATTATTTTATTATTGTATTTTTATAGGGGTGGGGGGTGCTGAAAAAATATTTGTGCCTGCACTACATACTCTATATTGGTCCGCTAATACAACACTATTAAAGGTCCAGTTTCTATACTTTTGTGAACAAATATTTAAATGTTGTATTAATATTCTTTTTGATTCCGATTTTTTAGGGGGTGCTGCAGCACCCTCAGCACCCCTACTTCCCGTGGCTATGGCATTAACCCAACTCACCTCTGCTGCAGGAATGTTTGTGTATTTTTGGCCAACTGGGAAGAACATTTCTGATGGACAAATGTTCGTGGGCACAGCAAGCATGCACATGTTGGCACTATGTAGAATTCCTGTAGTATCCTAAGTGCCGAACACATTATTGAGATGTGTGACATGCCTGGACAGTTCCTGGTTGTGTTAGACTGATCTTTCCCATGATGGTGTGTGAATTTGTTATTGTAAATTCAGAATGACATTATGACTGTCTCTATCCTTACAGCTTCACAGTCATGATGTGCATTAGTGTGTCTGGCCACAGCATTCCAGAGGAGATAGGTAGGAGACGCATACTGAAGTAATTGATTCCTGTGGAAACATACATATTCTCTTTGAGTTTGAGTTTTCTGTTTGTTCAAGATACTGTAAATCCACTCTTGTAGTTCTAGATGCAGAGCTTCAACTGGACAAGATGAAACAGCCAATGGCCAGGAGGACCCTGTTGCTGCAGACCAATCTGCCCCAAGAGTATTTCCAGCTAACCATTCAGAGAGATGTGGGAGTGGTCTGCAGGAACCAAACTGCTTACCTAAGGGTGGGTTGCTTTTGCCAATTTAGCCAATTTATAGGCCTGTATTTTGTATATAGAGTATTACAATGGTCAGTGCTCAAAACCTGAATGTTGCAGCAGTGTTCTTACCAGTCTGATGCCTCCAAGTGGCCATTCACTGAAGTGACACTACAACAGGCTCCAATACAATTAGTAACCTCACAAAAATTGTGTGAACACTGCCATTGTCAGTGGCAACAGACAAACCTGAAAGGGGAGTATATTGATATTGTCTTAACACAACATGATCCACTAAACTGCAGTAGATATTTACTGAATTTAAATTTAATTGAGGGTAAATTGCATCAATGTCAGTACTGCATCCTGTCTCTCTTTCCAGCATGAGTCAGAGTTCAAGGACAAGCTGAGCCCCATCTTCATCTCCCTGAACTACAGCCTGTCCAACTCCATCTCCCAGGAGGCCATGCTGCATGGCCAGAGAGCTGTGGTCACACAGGTGACATCACACATTATATTCTAAATGTATAAATACATTTTAGTTTGCAAAGGAATAACATTGTATAAGTGGTGATTACACAGTTGTAACCTATGAATTAGCCTACGTGTTTGTTTCTTTGGGTGTAAAAATGTGTCTCTGTGTGTTGTGCAGACCAGGATCATTCTGGACTGCGGAGAGGACAACATCTGTGTCCCTGACCTGAGGCTGACTGCTGAAGCGTGAGTGTCAAACTCCCCTGAGGTCCACATCACTCAGTAGTATAATCTGTTTTCTTAGTCATTCTACATTTTCAAGACTTTAACCAAGTGAGATCTCATGGGATCAGTGTGCGGGAAAATAGGGTTACGTTATTTGTACTACGAACCATGCAGGTAACGGAATATCAGGGAAATGATTGTCTAGTTAGAGTGTTTTATTCCTGTCTACTATACAACCCTTTACACCTCTGCCTTTGACCCATCCTCAGAGGTACCGACCGTCTTCTGATAGGGGATGACCACCCTGCCCTGTTGGTCATCACAGCGGAGAACAGAGGAGAGGGGGCCTACGAGACCGAGCTGGAGATACGTCCACCAACCAACACACACTACCAGAGTATGGTGACTGACAGAGAGGTGACTGTCATTCTCCTGTTCATAATAAAAGGGAATTGTTAACAGAGTGATATCAACTGTCCCACGCACGTGACCTGCAGGAAAAACTCTGAGCCCAGAGTTTTGCTGGTCAGGTTACGTGGTCAGCATAACCTACTGGCTCTACGTAAAACACACTGTCTGCATCTGAAATGGCACCCTATTCCCTATATAGTGCACTACTTTTGACAAGAGCCTCATGGACCCTGGTCAAAAATAGTGCACTAAATAGTGAATAGGCTGTCTGAGTTTGCCATCTCTCCCAGGGCTTCAGCAGGTTGATCTGTGCTCAGAAGAAGGAGAACCAGACAGTGGTAGTGGTCTGTGAGCTGGGGAACCCTATGAAGCAGGGCCAGAAGGTAACCACCATGTAATTATAGTAAAAGTAAATACCCTTGAACGTGCCTTGCATCTCCTGTTTCTGTAGCATGAGGCAGCTTGATGGACAGGACACTAATCTTAACCCCAATCTCCTTAATGCTGTCTGAGTGCCAAGCAGAGACTCATCGGGTCCCATTTTTACAGTCTGTAGTTTAACTTGGCCGGGGATCGAACTCCCAACCTTCCAAACTCTGGCCGGACACACTGAGTTTGCATAGAATTACATCTAAAATAGTAGTAATTCAATAGGATTTCTATGGTAACCACTAACCATAGCTAGTGCTAAGGGAGAGGTGTGAATGTTTTACCGAGACATGTCACTGTGTGCTCTGGTTTCCTGTGAATGTGTGAAAGCATCAAGGAGGTTTCTGGTCGTTCTGGGTCTTCGCTATCAACGGACGTGGATGACATGTGACTGTGTGTTTGCAATAGCTCTGTTTTCCTGTCAGTCTGAATGATACAGTACAGTATGTTCTTCCCTCTGTCTGTCGTAGCTCCAGGCCGGTCTGTTCTTCAGCGTGGGGAACCTGGAGGAGGTGGAGAGCCAAGTGTCATTCACATTACAGATCAAAAGGCTAGAACAACACTTTCGTCCCGTCTTGTGATTTTAATGCCATCGATGCCCCCAAGCCATTGTTTTTAATGGGAGAATTCAAGATCACTAAAGCTAATATTTAGTGTAGATTGATCAACACAATGTAAGGCATATTTAGAGTCTCTGAGATACACATGGTTTACAAACTGGTTAATCCAGTCGTCTGTATTTTAGACGTTCAAGGTGTTAGCTGAAGGTTCATGGCTTTTCTAATGAGACAAGGGAAATGTTCAACACTCATTCAGCTTCTCCCTTCCTTTAAATATATCTAGCAAGAACAGCCAGAACCCGGACAGTAACGTGGCCCATCTGAGGATTGATGTCAGCGCTGTGGCAGCTCTGGAGATTCGGGGGTGGGTGGGCCTTCCTTCATTCTCCTCCAATTCTCCTCCAATTATCATCAGAGCCATAAACTGTGCTGTTTTGTGCTACCATGGAAACGAGCACTCCTCCTGTGACCTTAGACACACTTTCTGTGTGACAATTCAGAGCTGCCTTGGCAGACTAGCAGCAGACTGAATATCTAGTATCCAAAAGGGATTAGTGATGTTTGCCATTGGAAGATGTTGTCCTAATGCGAGCGTATTACAGTGCAGTAACAGCATGGTTTCCTCTTGTCCTTGTAGTTGTTGGTTTTCCCAGGACACGTAGTTACTAATTATCACCAGGGCTATTTAACTATAAGACCAAGAGGTGCAAATTAAGCATCCTGTAGCAGTCTGATCCCTATATCCCACTGAGATCAGTTAGAAAGTAGGCAATACATTGGATCCCGGATCGACTGTCTGTGCTGCCATGCATGACAACAACCATATAAGCATTGGCAAGACAGCAAAAACGGATCTGGGACCAGGCTAGTGTTATCAGTGTTGTCCTCAGCGTTTGGTCCACCCTTGTAGCCTGTTGTTTTTTTGGACAGGGGCTCCTCTCCACCTGAGTGTGTCCTGCCCATTGCCAAGTGGGAAGAGAAGGAGCAGCCTGCTGACCTGGAGGAGGTTGGCCCACTAGTGGAACACGTCTATGAGGTAACTCTATTATGGTTCACTCAGTGATTCACTCAGAAAAGAAACAAAGCATTTAAGACATTTGTCTCTCTGAGGTTGGTGCAGTTTTAGGCCAAAATGCGTAACATCTATTTGAAGAGTCCATAAGGCCCTTATAGAGTATGTTTTGTATACGTTATGTCATATTTATACAAAGACAATGAGATCCAACTTAGTGAGTGAAATCTGAAAGCATGTGTTTTTGTGTTGAAACTATCAGTTGAGGAACCTGGGTCCGAGCACGGTCAACGCCAGGGTGGAGGTAGAGTTCCCCACCCGTCACCATGGAGACTTCCTGCTCTATGTGTTCGCCAACGCCTCTGAGGATTTCCTCACCTGCCACACTGACTCCCCTGACATCGACCCATACCAGGTGAGAGAGGTAGCCATGTTGTGGCCCTGCAGTGTGCCAAACAGCAAATATTTCTATAGCGGGAAAAATATGTTTTTATTAAATCACTATTTTATTTTATATTTGCCTTAAATAGAAGCAAAACCATATGTTCTATTCATTCTTTTGATGATGTTTTGGTCATATGAAATTGGAGTACACTCTTCTGTTTTCGCAGTTGGTGAAGACCGGGAATGCTACTGTTGGTACAGTGTACAAGGTCAAACAGAATGAGGTGGCACGGCCGGAGACTCAGCGCAAAGAGACCGTTCACGTGGTAAACAAGTGTCGCCTCATGCGATTAACATAATGACATGCATCAGTGTACTTATGACAGCAATACAATCAAACTGTCTTGTCTTTACTTGATGCTGTACAGTAGGCTAGTACCACTTTGCTGCAATTTCAGAGACAACTTCCAATATTCTGTATATGCCACAAGAGGGGGATGTACAACAAAATATTGCATCTCTCAGGTGGATGGGGACATTCCATTGATGTGTCATGGGGGAAACAAGTTGACTCAGTTTGGTGTGGTCCTCTCTCGATTTCTCCACAGAACTGCACCAGTGGAGATACCTGTCTGAGGTTTGTGTGTGAGGCCACAGGTCTGGAGAGAGGCTGGAGCGCTGTGGTGAAGGTGATGTCCCGACTCTGGGTACAGACTTTCCTGGAGGTGAGAGGGAGGGAGGGAGGGACTAACTAACTCAGGGGCCTATAGCATATCACAGTGACATTGTTTCCACACAATTTTTCACTATAGCTACATTCATAGGTGCAAAGTAAAAGCTCTCCAAGACAGCTCTGCATCAAATTGAGATAGCATTTTGTATGATCTTACTTCTTTGACATCATTCCGTAATGATTATGAAACCCTCATTCTGTTTCCCCTAGAGGCCCTATGAGAATTATGTTCTCCACTCTACAGCACGCTATGAGGTTATAGATATGCCCTCTAAGATCCAGCCGAAAGAACTGCCAAGTGGACAGGCTGAGGTACAAAACTTTTATTGGTGTGTAGACAACATTTATTTACTAAGTAAGTAAATTACTTACTTGAGGCATATACACAACCATTTCTTCAGTACTCATTGGAAAAATGAAATTGGAGCCAGTTGACCATCTGTGTATGTGTGTGTAGACCCAGACCAGTGTGGTGTGGAGAGCTCCTGATGGAGAGAAGGAGGTGCCGGTGTGGTGGATCATTGTGGCCGTGGTCTCTGGCCTCTTCCTCCTCGCTCTGCTAGCTCTGATCTTCTGGAAGGTAATGTACTGAAATAGTTTAAACAGCAGGTGGCGCAGGATTGGGCCCCAAAACTGGGAAGCGTTTCAAAGGTGCTTTCATTTTACATTTTAGTCATTTAGCAGACACTCTTATCCATAGCAACTTACAGTTAGTGAGTGCATACATTTTTCATACTGGCCCCCCTGGCCCCCCGTGGGAATCGATCCCACAACCCTGGCGTTGCAAGCGCCATGCTCTACCAACTGAGCTACAGGAGGCTTTCTCAGCTATCATCTAAGTATTGATCAGTCAGTCTTTTTAAATTATATGTTTTTCTCAAACCTGTAACTATTGTTTTAAATGGAGAAAATGTAGAGGGGGCATAAAGGAGAATGTCCTTAATGACATAGAAATGAAACCGGAATCAGGAAACAATATGTGGAAATGTAAATGTTTCGTGTCTATGCTTCAGGTGGGGTTCTTTAATCGCAACCGTCCCCCGTGTGATGAGGATGATGACAATGCAGAACAGCTAGCTGGGGCTGGACAGTCTGAATACGCTGAGATGTCCCCAAACACAGAGGACAAGCAAGCATAAACAACTATCACCCTGGAAATCCTGGTGTTTTATGTATTTATTTGGTTTGACACAGACGCCCACACTTTTTCTGAGTGTTAAACTGTTTCACATGGTTTGTAAAAGTTGCTATGGGCTTCTTGTTTTACTCCCTATAACTGCACATTTACTAAAGATGCACCCTAAATATGTTTTTTAAAGGGTATCTTTTAGCTATTGCATTTTGTATTAAAATAATCATATAATCTTGATTTAACACTTTGTGTCCTTTTGAAGCCAAACTGGCATTCCAATGTTCACAGAGGGGATATCCTTGTTAGTGTGATGGCATCGGCCTGCTCTCTAAGTAACCATTGTGTTGAGGAGACCATCATGACTCACTGAAGGCTGAGCCAGCTTCCTGTTATTGTAAAGGAGAGAGGGTAGAGGGGAGACCCTAGAGTGACAATAACGCTCAGACCAGGCAATCCTGTGTTTATGCAGCCCATGTAAAAATAATAAGAAATAAATACCCTGATATGGCAAGAAGGGTACAGTACTTATACCTATTTGTGTGTTTTTGTTACACTGACGTTTTACATGCATTTCAAAACAAATGCAAATAAATAGTGGCTATTGTGAATGCAATCAGACAGGTAGCCTTCTTTTAAGTGAATTGGAACACTGTGTACTTACATTGTAATTACACTGTCCTCCTAATGGGGTTTGAGATGGACTTATCAGGGCCCGTAGATCTTCATAGAGGCCCATCTGTGAACACACTCTACTTTGGTACCGTTAGGGGGCGATCACGACCACCCACTATGCAGAGCAAGCGTCCCCTCCCACGTAGGACAATGGAATTGTGAAGCCACTCTGGAGCGCGAGCAGAGCAAGGAGTGGGCATCCGAGGCAGCGCGGAAAGGGAGCAGTCAATGCCAACCTCAAAAGCAATATGGATGAATGGCCACCTAAGTGGAATTGGTGATGTCGCAGTAAGAATGCCACCGCCGCACATATCTCGTCTTCTTTTTCTCATTATTTTTCTCGGCAATCTTTGGGAAGGATTTGCTAAATCCATTCCGAACCAGGGAGCACTTGGTGAGTTATTCGTAGAGATTCGAGTTTTGAGGGGAAAATCTATGGTGGGGAATAGGATATGCTGCTACAGCTAACGTATTGGCTGTTGTTATTATTTGTGCCCCTTGTCAGTGATGAGGACGAGTTATTATGTAACCGTTCATTTATTCCGCTATAACAGGCTACGCACGAATGGATACAATGTAGTCACAGCATGCTCTAGTCTTGTGGCTACTTCATTGCATTCGAGAATGGAATAGTGCTTCAGTTTTTAAACAAAGGATCCTGAACTGCAGCCCCCTCCCCTGATGGGCCATCTGTAGGTTAAATATGTAGGTCAATCTAACTTAAAGGTAGGCTATATAGACTATCAATAGCAGTTGCATTATTCCGTTACGATGTGCGATCTGAGTTGTGCGATAGCAATTAGGCTACGATGAGGCGTCAGCTTAGTTCAAACTTCTATCTCTACCCAGTCCGTTAACGTTATGTAACTCTGGAAGATCCCAACCTGATCTTTTCAATTAGCAAACGGTCAATTGTCAGACACCAACGGTTAGTATAACTATTTGTTATCAAAGTCAACTTATTGAGAAAAGCATTCCATGCAAGAAAAATAGGCCTATAAGAGCTTCAAGTCTTATAACCGGTATAGCACGAGCTCATGTGCATTTGTGAATGCGAGATGGTCGACAAGCTTGTTTTGGCTACTGTCATCTGCACGCACCCGTTGTTGTTGTTGTTGTTGTTGTTGTTGTTGTGTCCCACGAGGCCTCACGAATGGCCAAAGGACATTATAATGTCAACAATGTTTGTTTGGGGTTTGCAGGACTTTTGACACATTTCAGTTATCCTATTTCAATTCAGTTTCTCTGCAGGAATCATTTCACCATTTTATAACCATATACAATGTACATTTTTATAATTGATTGTTTATTATTATTATTATTATTATTATTAAATAGACTATGGTTTGCAATGAAACAGACTGATATAGGCCTACTGTCTTTCTGCTGTCATAGTAACTGAATGATAGAAGAGGGGACTTCCAAGGTGCTTGAAGTGGATGCTAATGTCAATGCTTGGTAGTGCTTTAGCTAGTGTCAATGCCATGGTCATTTGTCCATTGGGAATCCTGCCCCATCCCCTGGTAGTGACCTCTGTGCTGTCTCCTACATTCAACTGGTCCAAGCACAGTTTAGTGCAGATGCATTCCATATGTTGCAATTCCTTGTAGATGCCTCTTTTTAGAGCTAAGCAGGCTTTTAAGAAGTCGTGTCCATCATCTATATTTCATTAGCTAAGCTGTTTCCCAACAAAGAAGCCTATTTCTGGAAGATGTGCTTATTACTTAGTGCTTTGGACAAGTTTGTCAAGATGGGTAGAGCTTCTTAACCGGACATGTCTCTAATATTATCTATGAATAATCATAGATTATCCATGTGAATACCACTAGTTACACTGACTGAGCAAGCTGGTTGTGGTTGGTCTAATAGTTTGTCCTTACAGTATAGCTATATAGTTTCTTGAAACACTTTCAAATGGGAAATCACATCAAAGTCAATCATATTTCTACTGGAGAGACAGGAAATGTTGATTCATGTTGATTAATTCATTTGAAGGTGCTGTCGTCAACCCCGACCCCACCTTCACCCCATATTGATTTGTCAGACTGTGTTCTTTCATGACTTTATCATAGAGCTCATGACCTCAATCTCTCCTCAGAAGTAAAGGCCCCTTTGAAGCAGTCAGAGAGCTTGGATGGGAAACTAAGTCGAGTCGCTGAAATAATTTGGCGCTTGTGGATTGAGCTGAGGCCGGGAAGCTTGGGCTGACTGCTAAAAAGCTTGAGTGTCGCTCTTTTTTATCACAGTAGAAATTCCTTTCTTTTAACAGCACAGTGACTTGCAATGTTCTTTCGGCTCAGTAGCTCAGCAAGAATGAGATGAATCACCAGAGCCTATCAAAAAGGGCTACTATAACCAATTAAATGCTTGGTCTAGGAAGAAAAAGGAAATTATTTCAGAGATCAGTGGAGGGTGATGCTGTGGACATAATCAACGCATGCCAGACTGTCTTCTTGTGTCAGCTCAGCTCCTCCTGAAGATGCATATTTAGTTACGGGTAGATGTTGGGGACGTCCCAAATGGCACCCTATTTCCGATATGCCCTGGTTAAAATTAGTGCGCTTCATGGGGAATAGGGTGCCATTTGGGATGTAGAGTTTTGGTACACACTCTCTGCAGCATCCGTTATCAAGGCATACATATTAATGAAATACTGTTGAAATTAATTAAGAAGGGATTGAACGCAGCCATGGGGATGTTATTTATTCAGTGAATAACATTATCATTTAGTCTAATAGCCAATATTCAATGTAAGCCTGACGTCCCCAGAGAGAAGGTTTGTATGGTAGAGGAGTTAAGGGTACTTTGAAATACTATGTATGGAAATGGGTCAACATGTCTTATTTTTACAAACAAATTTGACCTTTCACTGACATCAGAAATCATCATATCTGAATTATTGTCCTGAAAAGGAAATTTTGATACAAGGTCATCTTCAGTTTGATGTAAACCGTACTCTTGGTTTATCTTAACATTATTTCACGCTGAATTCTGCTGATCAGAGTGACTGAGTGGAATGTGTCCTCACTCTGTCACGTGATGTTGTTGCCATGGTAATCTGTTCATGTTGAGTCCTGCCCCTTCCCCTCTCAGTGACCTCTGGGTTGTCTCCTACCCAGTTGAGGCGGTTTGTCACATGTTCATTTGTGGCTTTCTTTTGAAGTTCATGTTTATCTTTCTTACAAGAGCAAGGTGCTGTCTGTCATTCAAGGCTGAAAGAAACCCTAATAATGATATGCGCCATCATAACTGAGATAATCATACGATCGGTGATCCTTCTATGGTACGTCTCCTTGAATTTTCAAACGTCTATGGTGTACTGCTAGCTACTTAGCGTCTGAGGTTGATTAAAAAACTATTTTGTGAGGATGGAGGCAGTGTTGCTGTTGTTGAGATCAGGGGTTTATGTAAAAGGATCAGCTGTGTATACTTGCAGACTGACTGTGCCCAGTGCCCAGAGCAACAACCAAACCATGAAAAATGTATGTTATTCTTGGGCTGTTTCTGCATGACCAACACCTGACTGTCCTAATCGGTCTGACAGCCTGTGCAGCCTGCCCCGGTGTGTCGACAATAGCCGGCTGAGGCCTGGCCAGGCAGGGGTCTAATGTGAGCTGTCTGCCATGGCTTTGTGTTGTCTGTTCTGTACCCCCAATCTTTCTCTCCACTGCCGCTGGGCAGGTGAACCATACAGGCTCACATTCATAATTGTTCAGATTCGTAATTGTTTGGCAGTTCAGTCCCTTCTGTAGGGACTAGGTTTTATTGAGATCTAGGTTTTATTGTGTTTTTCAGAGAGCAAAATGATACATTTTCTTGTTTGTTTTCTATCGACGTCATGGGGTAGTTCAGTCACAGGGTGGTTGTTCTGTATAGCTACACTTCAAGGGTAGTCTGTCCATATCTATACACTGCTGCACTTTGAGCCTCTATCGCAGGGGTCGGCAACAGGCGGCCAGTGGGCCAAAACCTTTCTTTTAGTTTTTGGTCCAGAAAAACTGTACAATCACCAGGAACTCAGCAAAAATGTGTTTAATTAGGAAAATTATTCCCACGAATAAAACCCCCCACACGTGATCATGTCTCAATGTAATCAAGGTATGATTTTTGGCCATAGTTGTGGTCAATTTGCAGTGTACAAATTATTATAATTATGTTTCCGGCCCCTGAACCATCCGCTCCGACAAAAATCATCCTTCAGCTGAATCTAGTTGCCTACCCCTGCTCTATCGGTTGTTTTTAAAATATTTTTATGCCTCCAGCATCCACATACAGTTATTCTTGAGTTTCTCCTTCATTGTGGTCATTGGGGACCACTTTTTCTGATGGATTAGGCCTACAATCTCTCCAGGTCATATTATTTGATATTTGATAAATGCTGATCTGGATTGTGGATCTTGTGAGAATCAAAAAAATGGATGGCTATATTGTGATGTGAAAATGTTGTCTCACTAAACCGTCCAGAGGAAATAGTAGGCAGTGTAGAGTAGACATGAGCTTATGTTAAATATGGAAGCAATGTCAAGGAGAGGTCAGTTCTAATTAGCAATTCAATCATTTCTTTTTAATTATACATTCGACTGCTGGGAGTGGAGCTGAGGCATGTGCAAATGAGTTGGTTTCTACTGAAAAGTGGTAGCCTGGTCCCAGATCTGTTTGTGCTGTCTTACCAAATCATATAGTCACAATGACCGTAGGAGTTGGCAAGACAGCACAAACAGATCTAGGACCAGGCTAGAAAGAGTGGGTCTGTCTGACTCATAAGATCTTGCTTTGACTGACATCCCTGTATTAGAACTCAGAGCACCGTGGACCAGGACCAGCCAGTCTGTTTTGCTGCAGCAGTAG